AGATGTCACATCGTGACAGGATAATTAGTAGAAAGTTGACTTTACGATCCACTTTAAAAGAGTCAGTGAGGGGGGTTGCCAAAGCATTCCTTGAAGCATTTAAGAAATAAAGTAGCCACCAGCCATAAATCCATTAAAAAAAAGACCAATTCGCCGCTAAATTCTTCTATTTTATGGTTTCAATTAGTTTAAGCTTTTAGCGCAGACATTCTCTCTTGAGTAATAAAATCAGCTTACCAGATGACATCACTTCAACCATTCTTAGGGGCAACCTGCAGTTTCAGTTAGCATGCAGCTAATCCAAAAAGGAATTGGCACGAGGAGTTAATAACCCCCCCCCAGAGACTTTGCGAATGTCTCTGAGGTCTTGGGTCTCTCCTCACCTTCACTGTCGTCTCCGGGACAGCTAGGGTCCAAAGAACCTGACCAAAAAATCCTTTGGAATAGAGGAATTTCAGGAATAGCCTGAGACTCTGTCTTCTCACTGCTAAGCCCCGCCTTCTCTCGACCTAACAATGTTGATGTAATGACTGTAAGGTGTTGTAGAAGGGGAAAAAAAGAAAAAAAAAGAAATAGCTTGCAGTAGTGCATTCTAACCACTCTGACTCTTAAATGATTAAAACCTATACAACAGTGGTTAGGAATTAAAATAATAGTATGTTATGAAAAGTGGGAGTCCCAACCCCTGGCCCATGGCCCACTACCAGGATTTCAATCTTTTGGAACCGGGCTGAAGTGGCATGCGAGCCATACGTGTAAGCAATAGGTGAGCACTGTTGTGCGTGCTTACTGCTCACACAAATGCAGCCCGCTCCATGTGTGGAACCATCCTCTCCCTCCCACACCAATCCACAAAACTAATTTAAAGTGAACCATGGATTTGGGATGACATTTACAAGTGAACTGGAACTGGAAATGTATTGTAGACAATGATGTACAAGATAGACAGTCAACGTCAGGATTTGTTGTAAAGTTTGCAATGTTTGGTTCAGTGGTGGGATTCCATTTTTTTACTACCGGTTCTGTGGGCATGGCTTGGTGGGCGTGGCATGACTTGGTGAAATGGCGGGGGAAGGATACTGTACAATCTCCATTCCCTCCCCACTCCTGGGGAAAGTTACTGTAAAATCCCCATTTCCTCCTGATCAGCTGGGACTTGGGAGGCAGGGAATAGATGGGGAGCGGGGCCAGTCAGAGGTAGTATTTACCGATTCTCCGAACTACTCAAAATTTCTGCTACTAATTCTCCAGAACCTGCTGAATACCACCTCTGGTTTGGTTGGAACGCCAACTAACCAGTTGGAAATGCAGAAAACAGACTTCAGTTGCCATTTCCACAGCTCAAGCAGAATCCATGACATTATCAGAATTGTGTTCAGATATAGCATGGTATATGTAATTGTTAAAGGGTTTGGATATTGAAGTGAAAGGAGCTGTGCCGGTGTTTGAAGATAACACAACATGTATACAAATGGCAAGAGAGAACCAGAAGCAAGCACGTTGACACAAAATATTGTAATGCCAGAGAAGCAGTGAAAGAAAATACAATTGACCTGGTTTATTGTCCATCAGAAAATAATTTAGTTGACCTCATGACAAACCCATTTAAGTATACAAAAACACAAGATTCTTAATAAAACAACTTGGTTTAAATGCTGTCCAGCTATAAATTGGAGGGGTGCTATGATATTGGATTTAGTAGGTGAGAGAGGAAAATGTACAATAGGCCAGAACACACAGTTGTAGTGGTTAGAAAGTGCTGACTCCTATTAAATGGAAAGGGGGGGGGAAGAAGGGGAAAACAGAAAATATTAAACATATAAGTATATATTCAAGAACGAGATATAAAGGGGGGGAAAACATACCTAGGGTAGACTAGTGAAGGTAAGGGAATAAGAAATGATACTAAATTGTTGTGGCCCAGCAGGAGCCGTTGAAGCTGCCACCAGACTCCGACAGCGAGGGGCCCTATGAGTCGGCTCTGGAGGACCCTGGACAGGGCTCCCACTCCCAGCAGGGCGCAGAGAGGCTGGTTCGCCACCAGGAGGCGCCTGAGCCTTGGACCAGTGGGGAGGAGACAAGGAAGAGTGATCCGGACACCAGCAGTGAGTTGTTCCTGGATCCCCGGCACCGAATAGCTAATAGGTGTCAGGAACAGTTATGCAAGTACAGGAGGTAATTGCACTCAGCTGGTGGTC